TTGAGTTGAGTTTGAGTTTTGGAGCTGGAGGGAGATAGATCGATGTGAGTTTTGGGGCTGGAATGATTGGAGGTTTGGAAGGAGCTGGGAGGATTGGAGTTTGAGTTTTGGGGTTGGAAGGAGGTGGAAGGATTGGAGTTTGAGTTTTGGGGCTGGAAGGATTTGAGTTTTGGGATTGGGAGGATTTGAGTTTTGGGGCTGGAAGGATTTGAGTTTTGGAGCTGGAAGGATTTGAGTTTTGGGGCTGAAAGGAGCTGGAAGGATTTGAGTTGAGTTTTGGGGCTGGAAGGAGCAGGAAAGATCAGAGTTTTATGTTTTGGGGCTGGAAGGATGTGAGTTTTGGGGCTGGAAGGAGCTGGAAAGATCTGAGTTTTGGGGCTGAAAGGATTTGAGTTTTGGAGCTGGAAGGATATGAGTTTTGGGATTGGAAGGATTTGAGTTTTGGGGCTGAAAGGAGCTGGAAGGATTTGAGTTCAGTTTGAGTTTTGGGGCTGGAAGGAGCAGGAAGGATTTGAGTTGAGTTTGAGTTTTGGGGCTGGAAAGATTTGAGTTTTGGGGCTGAAAGGAGCTGGAAGGATTTGAGTTGAGTTTGAGTTTTGGGGCTGGAAGGAGTAGGAAAGATCAGAGTTTTATGTTTTGGGGCTGGAAGATTGGAGTTCTGGGGCTGGAAGGAACTGGGAGGATGTGAATTTTGGGGCTGGAAGGATATGTGTTTTGGGGCTGGAAAAATTTGAGTTTTGGGGCTGGAAGGAGCTGGGAGGATGTGAGTTTTGGGGTTGGAAGGATTTGAGTTGAGTTTGAGTTTTGGGGCTGGAAGGAGCTGGAAGGAGCGGAATTTTGGGGCTGGAAGGATTTGAGTTTTGCATCTGGAAGGAGCTGGAAGGATTTGAATTCAGTTTGAGTTTTGGGGCTGGAAGAATTTGAGTTGAGTTTGAGTTTTGGGGCTGGAAGGAGCTGGGAGGTTGTGAGTTCTGGGGTTGGGAGGAACTGGAAGGATGTGAGTTCTGGGGCTGGAAGGAGCTGTCAGGTTTTGAGTTGAGTTTTGGGGCTGGAATGAGCAGTCAGGTTTCGAGTTGAGTTCTGGGGCTGAAGGAGCTGTCGGGTGCCCTGCTGGCAGCCTGGCCCTGCCCCTCAGATCACTCTCTCCTCTGTCTGTCTGTCTGTCTGTCTGTCCAGGACAAGGTGNGCCCATCCCATCCAGCAGGCCAAGGCCCTGGGGCTCCAGTTCCACTCCAGGATCCTGGACATCGACAACATCGACGTGAGTTCCCTGCAAAATTCCTCTTTTTGGGGGGAAAAATCCAACTCAGGGGATCAGCAGGGGCTTTTTAGGATCAGGGGGATTGGGGAAAAAAAACCCTCCAGGATCATTCAGTCCAACTTTCTTTGCTCTGAGTGCTGGGTTTGAGCTCTGGGGTTTGGGATTTCTGCTCCCAGAGGGAAAATCCCAGTGCTGGAAGGAGAAATCCCAGTGTTGGAAAGGAAAATTCCAGTGCTGGAAGAGAAATCCCAGTGTTGGAAGGAAGGGAAATCCTATTGCTGGAAGGGAAATCCCAGTTCTGGAAGAGAAATCCCATTGCTGGAAGGGAAATCCCATTGCTGGAAGGGAATTCCCAATGGTGGAAGAGAAATGCCAGTGTTGTAAGGGAAATCCTATTGCTGGAAGAGAAAATTCCAGTTCTGGAAGGGAAATTCCAGTTCTGTAAGGGAAATCCCATTGCTGGAAGGGAAATCCCATTGCTGGAAGGAAAATCCCATTGCTGGAAGTGAAATCCTATTGCTGGAAGAGAAAATTCCAGTTCTGGAAGGGAATTCCCATTGCTGGAAGGGAAAATCCCAGTGCTGGAAGGGAAATCCCATTGCTGGAAGGGAAATCCCAGTGTTGGAAGAGAAAATTCCAGTTCTGGAAGAGAAATCCCAGTGTTGGAATGGAAATCCTATTGCTGGAAGGGAAAATTCCAGTTCTGGAAGGGAAATCCCATTGCTGGAAGAGAAATCCCAGTGCTGGAAGAGAAATCCCAGTGTTGGAATGGAAATCCCAGTGTTGGAAGGGAAATCCCATTGCTGGAAGGGAAAATTCCAGTTCTGGAAGAGAAATCCCATTGCTGGAAGAGAAATCCCAGTGCTGGAAGGGAAATCC